GTTATAACATACCAATTTGTGAAGTTTGGTTGGTCTTCCCACCTATGCTGCCAAGCCAACTCCGCTTATTACAGATTCTGTTACAACCTGTCTTCGGATATAAAGGACTATATTAAGGAGTTTAAAAGCAGTTCACTGTTCTATTATAGCAGACTCTTGGGCAGCAGTCTTTACTTAAGACATTATGCAACTTTCATTCATCAGTACAGATCAATAAAAAAAATTGTTACCTCTAAAAGCTCAGAAGCGGCCATAAACCACATCTTTTCTAATATCCATTCACATTTTGTCAGTCTCACTGGTTAGAATAGATTCCAGTCCTAATCCACGTCAAAGTCTGCAGCGAGAGCATCTGCGTTCTGCATACTCCTTTTACGACAAACCAAAATTACACTCCCATCGAGGTCTGTTCTAACGAGTTTACGCTGTACTACTATACCCCAACAAAACGCAAACAGCTGAGTATGTCGACAGATGCTGTGCCACCTGGAGGCCCCAGGGAACTCGTAGAAATGTGAAGCGGAGAGAGCTACCGCGAGGGTGTGCATCCTACTTTGATGTGCACACCCTCATAGCGCCCCCTCTTCAATCTGCATTTCTACAGAGTTTCCGGAGAAACTCCGGGTAGATTATCATGTATTGAAGGCAACGCACTCTGCGGTTCGCATTTAATTCGGGCCCGACAGTGAAGCCCCTCCACAGGCTCGCGTCCGTCTCACAAGCGACGTCAAATGCGCCAATGCACGAAGCCCACGCTTGTCGTAACATACCTCACGCGTCTGCACAACAATGGTTGTCGGTACTCGTAAGAAATGCGAAGCATGAATTTATCCAGGGGCTTTGCTCGACAGTACTTTGGTCAATTGTATGCCTTTCTGAGGTGTAACTTTTTTGTGCGTTTTCTTTACATTTCTTAAATTGCTCCCTTTCTCTTGTTGCATTATGCAACTCTGGTCTGCGAAATGACTGTATCCTCTCCCGCTTCGGCCTTATTACTGGCCGACAATCTTTTGCAAATCAACAAATATCTTACAGGAATGAAGATATGCCTCGAAATTTCACGAGGCAAAAACCCAACAACCAAGATGCATCTACGATAAAGATTTCAGCTCATTAGGTAAAGGCACTGATCATTCCAGCTCGTCTGTACGGGGTATTCAATTGCTTGGCCACATTAAAAGTGTATGAGCAAGAAGAGCACACCTTCAAGAGTACTATCAAAGATTTAAGCAGCATTGCTTTTAGGTATTGTGGGAAGGGGGTATGCTTTTTATATGTAGTATACATAATAGTTGGAGCTCTCCATATCCGCGGATTATCCGCAAATAGTCCGAGGGTATTCGCAGTAAACTGGCAGATGCTGATAAAAATGAATCAGATTTGGCAGATTGTGGGTCGGATGCGGATATTCGTGGGTCCGGATCTACACTTTTTGCCGAGGTGGCCCACAAACATGTGCAGCCACACAGGGTAGGGCAGCGTTTCTCAACCACTGATGTTTCACGGACCCCTTGTGGATCGGAGGAGATGACAGAGGACCCCATTTGTGTTGAGGGGAAGAGAAAGGTATAGGTTAATTATGATAATGATTGAATAAATGGATATAGCTGAGAGCTCGTGTGAAGTAGGCTTTTATCACTGACATACACATGAGAAAATTTACCCGAACATTAGAATGTTTCTTCTTAATTTGAAAAAAAAAAAAAAAATGCAGCTTTTTTTGCCGCGCTTGAATGACGAGGCAAGGCTTTAAAGGGTACCTAAATAACTACGTGGACCCCCCATCTGAGAACCACTTGTGTAGAGTAGGAACTGCATCATCGAATGCATTGCGGGAGAAAACTACTCTCTTAGATAAAACGTGCCAATCGGGAAACAAATTGTTCTTTATGTCATGAAAGATTTGATTCTCACCAAAGATTGCTTTAGAACGTTCCATCTCACCAAAAATGCTGTCCCTAGAAAAAGTAACGAATGCAGGAGCATCAGTTGTCCCAGGAAAGTATGTTCTTGTTTGGCAGGGAAAGAGTGAGAAACATTCTTTGGGCAAAGAAAACCCCCGACGTGCAAGCCACAGAAAGGTAGAAGAAGCTTGCAAGTGGCTTCTTTGCCTACAAGTAGATTGAGGAGATTGAATTCGATCCTCTGGAGTTCTGGAACTTGCGCAAGCAGAAGTTTATGTACCTCATTCTTGTATAAAACAGTTGGAGTATGCCACTCCAGCATCAAGTGCACCAATCGAGAGAGACTTCTCATTAGCAGGTATTAATTTAAGAGAGGCAAACTAGTCAATCTGCCCATGCTGACAATATTCTGTTTCTTCTAAGCAGCAACCTTGACAAGTGGCGCATTGCGTGTGTTTGCGTTTTCTTTTTCCCAACAGTTGGCACCAAGTATTTGGTTCCGAGCATACAGTTGAGGGTTTGTATTCCAAAACAAACTGATAGGAGCTGTTGCCATTATTGAATACTGCGATATTTTTCCAGTGGTGTACATGCACGGTTCCACATATACATGAATACTTTGCTGTGGTGAGTCCCCCACTTTTTTATTGTTTGGGCTAAATAAAATGACACAAGAACATTAGCCTGTCCTTTTTTAAACTACGCACCCGCACGTTGCTGGCAAGTGGCCGTTTCACAATTCCACGCAAGTTTCTTTGTAACCGCTACGATTGACATGAATGACTCCCTATTCCCTGAAAATTTAATGTTCGCACTCGAATCTTGCAACTCGCACGCCACTCAAGCAAAATGCATATGCGCTGCTGTGACGTTGTGTGAAAACTTTGAGTGTTTCACCCCATTGCTAACATCTATAGTGGCATGAATAGAGAAGCAGACTGTAAAAACGAGCCAGAAAAATTTATGCCTGCACATACAGACCGCTCTGCTTTTCACTGAAGGGTTATTTTAGTGGTTCACGATGCCATGTGAAATACTAACGTGTAGCTCCTGTACTGTGAGAAAGGAGACCATACTTTTTGATCATTTCAATTACTGACTTGAACCATGGAGAGTTGTGTTTGGAGCTGTTACCGGTAGATGACACCAGCTCTCATCTCTCATCTTTCGTTTAGCCACCGCCAACCAGCAAAGGAAGGCAAACAACATGCAGTCAAGATCATAGAATTATTATAATGTATGCTAGGGGTTCAAATGGCACTAGTGTTCTGTTGCAAATTGAAAAAGACAGCAACCAGTCGGAAATTGACTTATGGTACTATATTTTTATGGGAAAAAGTGAGTGCATTTTCTTCCTGTGCTCGATCATAAGAGTAAATATCACAAATAATTCATACATATTGGGTAGATTGGAACGTTTCTCAGCCACGCAGACGATATAATTGGTCAGTTACGGCGTTTTTATTTCAAATTCATGGCATTTAAAACGGTGCTAAAACGGCTTCATACACACGGAGTCCGCACCTTCCAGCATGGGTGATGTATGTGCCAAACGAACGAAGGACACGTGGAAAACCAAGAGAGACGGCAAGCACTATGCAGTCACACTGGATAAGTAACTCCTTGTGCATGCAGGCGATCAAATAAAAATAAATAAGTACAGCTCTGTTCTTTCTGCTAGTGATTATGCGCAAAGATGCTTGTTCTGCATTCAAAACATCACCCGCATGATCGAAATCTTTGAAAATAGGGAGAAGCCAGAGAACAGATCCCCGATAAAAGCTGCTTGGCATAGAAAATAATAAAAAGTCATACCACTCATATCGCACATTCTTTATTTTTTATGTTTTGAATGGTTTAACCGCTCGAAAGATGCACGATGGGGTCATTGTCATGTGACGGGACCTGCATATTAGCATTATATAAGCATCACCAGAGGGCTGGTGGACCTTGAAAACACTCTTCATCCCTTCCAATTGTTATTTCGCTTAGAATCGTCACTCGTTTTTACACACCTGCTAGGGAACAGAGGTTTGGGCCTGAAACATAGCGAAACTTGACATAGTTCAGTGGTAAAGAAAAATGCTGTAACTGAAGCAATTACACTTTTACAATGTTAATAAAGGTACATACTATTCGGTACGACCCAAGAAAACAAAAGTTATCCACGTTATTTTCTGGCGAAGACACAATGCACGTGCTGTTTTCTCAAAGGAATGCACAGGAGCACCGCAAAAGCCAACTGGTTGCTGTCTGCTTCAATTTGCCTCCCAGAAGTCGCATAGACACTAGTGCCAGCTGAACCTCTAGCGAACATGTTAATAACTCTATGGGCATGATTGCCCTCAATGCGGAGCGGCGTTCACATTTCTTTTCGTAACTTTGAAGAGTTAATCTTACTTGAAAGTTAAATTCTGGGCACAAGCAAGATTACAAAAGCGCTGCCTTCAATTTTATGGGCCACATACCTACAGAGAGGCAGGGATAAGGTAGCGTTAACTCTCATTAACAGCTCCAAATGGGAATCTTCTTTTCCATTTGACCGGTACTTTCTCATTTGATCCATACGGTTGATTTGCGAACTTAATTAAGCTATAATTACCCCCAGAGACCTCGAAGAGACAACATAAGTGGACTGTGATATAGATAAATTTTTACGAAAACATGAATTACGATCATTAACAGATCGCTGCCTCCCCTAGTAAAGGAAGAAACAATGCAAGTCAGCCAAAGTGTCTTAGAGCTGACACTTTCCACACAACAGAATCCACTCATCACCAAACCGTTCTCCGCACACAACCGCAGGGACGCCTCATTCGGCATCGCACGGAGAGACTGTGTTCTTGGAAAACAGCCCAGAACGCGCAGCTAACGGCGCTGCCACCTCCAAGGTCAGCGCACTGCAACGCCGAAGGCCCGGCCTCGGCCCAGCCCCAACCCCGGGTCGAGGGCGCGGGCCTCCAGGTGGGAGAGAGGGAGGAGGGGGGGGGGGTGGCTTTTCCCGCACACCCCTGCGCGATGTAGGGAAGTTCGTCGCCCGCGTACACACACAAACACACACACAAGGAGGGGTGGTTGCAAGTCGTGAACTCTCACCATGGCTTGCTCGATCTTGTTGTCGATAGCCACCGTGCTCCCCGCCGACGTACTGCGAACAAGAAAGGCGCAGTGAGCGACGTACGCCATGGCACCTTCCCCGCACACCGCGACAACGGCAAGAACAACACTGCGAGAAGCAGGACTGCCCCGAGCCGCTCCCCGAATCCAGTCGGCGGCGCCAGTCACCGCCTGCCGCCGGGGGGGTCTGGTCGCACCAGCTGATCGGCGGGGCGCTGCTGCTGCGGCGGCAACAACGAACCCAGCGCGCCGCGGGACCGTTACGTTTCCGAGCCGAGGTTATTCCATCTCGAATTCACGCGAGAACCCCCCCAAGAGGAAACCCGAGCGCTAGGTCAACACGCTAGGTAGGCGCGGAGGGCGACGCTGGCCGGGCGGGCGGCCGTTTCGCAAGACGGTCGCCGCCGCGCAGGTGAGCCAATCCGCTCCCCCCCGGAGACAAGCGGGCAGCCACTACCTACCCGATGAACTGGCGGATGATACCGTACACGGAGTCGGCGGCCAGGCAGCCCCCCGCGTACGGCGAGGCCGCAGCGGTCACCACGTCGCCGCGGCTCATCTTTCGGGGCCCCCCTCACGGAACTGCGGACGACGACGCCAGCGTAGCGGGCTGCAGCAGCAACGCGGCAAAGCGACGGGTAGCTCGGGTTCGCTTCAGCGCACCGCCGCGGAGCCGGTTCGATCCGGTTCTGTCGGCGGCGCGGAGGTCCCCAACGGGCGGGGGGAGAGAGGGAGGACGCGTGCGCCGAGAGGGACGGCTCGCGCTCTGACGAAATCGGGCGGCTGCCGTCGTCGCCGGTGTGACGACGACGCCAACGACGCGCCTGTTGTGGTGGGCCCCCGCGAACCGCCAGGTAAAAAAAAAAGAAAAAAAAAAAGCGCTTTGCGCCGTGATTGACGGATAGTACATCGCGGCCTTCGAGGCACTTGATCGGTCTTGGGCGATCCCGCCTGACTAAACCCAACAACCAACAAATAATCGAAAAAAAAAAAAAAAAGGATGTTTGTGCTTGTCGAATTTTGTTACCAATCCACCGAATATTTCGTGTGTGCCAAGTATTTTGTCTCTGCTTTACTTTGCGTCCTTCCGTTCGCCACGCTTTCAGAAAACGAGTCCGTCGATACAGCGGCTCTCGACCAAGAAACACAGCAGGAAGCCTCGCGGCGCGGGAGTTAACACTGGCGGGTTCCAATCTTGCCCCGAAGAAAGAATGAACGCTTGGTAACGACGATCGTGGTTTTAATGACCCACGAGGAAGAGTGGCCAGAATTCCCCACGCAAATACACGAACCTATGACACACCCTCCCCCGGAACGCTAACAACGGGTTCTTTTCCCGCGTTATTGATATTGATACAGCCGCAAATTATTTCCACCTCCCATCCACTTGTTCCTTCTTCCACTTGAAACACATTATCACCGAACAAATATTGCAATAACCTACAAAAAAAAAGTTTAATTGGTACCTGGATGTCTCTTCGAGCATAGTTTCTAAGAATAAGGATTAAGCACCATCCTTGGGGTATCCCGCAAAGTGACGGGAAGGTACGCGGACAATGCCCTTATAATTGAGACATATTTAATTCGATCAGTTAAGAAGGATGGGATCAGACACGTGGAAAGGACGTATAGAAAAGGATCGAAGGATTACATTCGCACTTAAGTGATTGGTCTTTCAAATCACCTTTCGGAGCAGCAAAAAGTTTTGAAGCACAAGCATGTATTTCATTCTCATATGTTACACCTATGTTAAGATGCATGTGCTCACCCGTCCAACTAAAGGAGATTGAAGTTCTTGGCTTTCTCACTTTTCTGCACCATACTCAGCAGACGTAGAAGGCAGCTTGATTCTCTTTCAAACGCGCAGTTGTGCTTCAAACCACCAGGCAGCAAGACAAATGCTGGAGTATCTCTAAGTTATTTAGGAATCCTATTGGTATACTCAAGTATCCTGTTTTAAACCTTGACTTTGATTAAAAACAAACTAAAAGATGCACGCAACTTGTCAGGATCCAGCAGTCAACAGTTTATATACAAGCCGCGGCTTTATTTTGAACACTTTACTGCAAGGTAGAGTTGTCACATCAGCATTCTCCAAGTTCTATTTTGCTCACAACACCCGACGCGAGCGAAAGCACCATCCCGCTCCGGAAAAGCGATTTTCCTTTTTCTTTTTTTTTTTCTTAGTTGCACTGTGGCGAAGCGAACACGCAGAAGCGCTATGTCTACTACTTCGCGGATGCCGCTTCTCTGCAGCGCACGAATGACCGGGGAGAAGCGCACTCAACGGAGCCAACGACCCCTTACCTGACTGATCACTAGCCTTCCGAGTACTGTCGTTGTTCGACACGAAGAACAAATCGAACAGTGCGTTATTCGAAGTAATGATCGAAAGTTCCGAAAAATCTTACGAGCCTATCGTAACGCTCCGGCAGTGCAGTCAAATAAACAATTAGAAAGAGGAGACACACACGGGACAATCTTGGGACCGTATTTGTCGTCACTTAGGTGTCCCACTGTGGACACAAGAATTCGCGGATATTTTTCACATCTCAGCGAAATGTAGCAAAATCTAGCAGGGTAAGCGCTTCGGTGCAGCGATCACATCCCTGCATCTGTTTGCCGCTTCATTCTATGTACTGAGAAACAAATGCATAACTCTGTTAAGTGAACTACAGTGACGATGGTGAAGTGTTCAATGGTGCAAACGCAACACAGGCAGGCCATGTCGCCCAAAACTGTGTAACAGTCCGATTTCCTCAAAGCACAGCGAGGATTTCCCCATCCTTGCTGTGCTTTGTTAAAGAAACACTAACACCCCCAAAACATTTTTTTTTAATTTTTTGCCAGGCGATTTAATATGGTGTCAGGACACTATACCCAATCAATATTTTGCTAAAGTGTCATATTTTTAAGAAAGCCAAAGAACTCAACTGCTCGAAACCGAAACATGAGCACGGAAGCTCATGGCCGCGACACGTGGACGATGTGTACCGAGGAGGGAGAAATGTAGAGGAGGAGAGAGTTGCCGGAAGTCACGTGGCTACACCCGAACACGGTTTTTTTTTTCCCCGCTTTTCCGGCGTGTTAAGCAGACGACGACGTTGCGTGCAACGTTTCATTATCTTTTATAATTTTTTTGTTTTTCTTTTTTTTTTAACTGATTTACGATTCTGAATATATTTGGCACGCCCTAGTTTGAACACCACATGACCATGGAAGAGAGAGTGAGCGCAAGTGAAACCGGCCAATTCTCGACCAGCTGTTTTCGGGCCGAAAGAAAAGGAATTTCGAGCAGCCTATTGTGTTCTGGGTAGTTGGGTCGTGATCAAATAAAAACCTCGGTGAGAAAAATATGTCAGTGACCCTTTAAAGAGATTCCATACATCATTCCAAGGTACAATCGTCCTCAAATGTATAAGGAGGGTATACTAGATAATAATTCTAGTATTCTACAGCATGTTTGATGCCCGTGTTAATGAAGGTGTTGGTCATATATAGGATTCCGTGTTTCTGGAGTTTATTTTTTTTTTAATTTTTTTTTTTTTTTTTTTACAAAAAATTTGAGTTTATCGGTGTTCATTTTTGTTCGATTCCCAAATCTCCGAGATTCGGAGATTAATTTTAGTTTGGAAAGGTAAAAGCGCCGAAAAAAGACAAGGACTAAGGCAGCCCCCGGCAACAGTCTGATCCTTGCAGCAGAAAACATGTAACTAGATAGCTTCGCTGAGTGTGCCTCAGGAGTTGTTTACGAAATACCTTTTTTCTCGAGGCTCTGTGTACATTGACCAGACGAGCAGATGCGTTAAGGACCGTGCCCGCGAGCATGCGGCAGCTATGCGAGCAGGCCCGTCTGGTCATCTCGTCATTTAGATGCGCATGCACGCCCGTGTTGCATGACATTAAGGTTTTGGCTCGATGTGGCTCGATGCCAAGATAGAATAAGCAGAGGTGCACGAGGAATATGTAACTCGGGTAAGGGTGTTGATGCATCAGAGAGGCGTCAGTAGCCCTTTCAAAAAAAGAATTTCAATATAGTAGACACGCGTTTCACCGAAACGCTGACGACTGACAGCTTGCTGGGGGCATATATTAGGCAGGTACTTTTCGAATAAACAACAGTTGCGACTTGCGAGTGCACCTCGTGTTGTATTTCTTCGTCTTAGTTCTTGCGAACTGCGAACCAACTGGCCCAACTTAATATTAGTGGTTTACTTTTTTTTTTTCTAAAATCAAAATAAATAATACCCGGGAGTAAACGTGCGATATATTCAAAATAATGTACTTGTATCAATTGATTTTTGTTCAGCTGGACTCGGCATTGGCGCCATTGCCACTGGCAATGCTAATTTGCCCCACGACAGCAGATGCAAACAAGCGTTGCTCCAGTAAACGTCGATAGCTTACATTCAATAAGCTCCTGGAGGTAGTCGCTGGAAAGCTTCTATTCGTCCCAGTCTATGCATCCACCTACCCCGCGGCTGCGCGTGGAGTGGTAAAGGGCGTAATATAGAAGATTCAACTGCCCACTCCCTCTTCCCCCTTTTATGAAATCTATATGGTTCATAGCTAGGGCTCCGTGTTTTCGGAGTTCATTTTTCGTGAAATTCGGAGGGTGTTTTTCGGAGTTTATTTTTTAGCGAAAAGTCGGTGTTTATCGGAGTTTATTTTTCACATATCCCCAATTCTCCGAAATTCGGAGGTTAATTTCGCAGTGTTTTCTATTAAAAATAATAAATAATAACCGGATGCAAACGTATGCCAGATAAAAAATAAAACGCGCTTGCATCAATTAAGATTTCTTCAGCTGAATTTGGCGTTGTTGTCATTGGCAATATTAATTTGTCCCACGCCAAAAATCGCACAAAAGCGTGGCTTCGATAAATGTCGATACCTTAAAATCAATCAACTGCCAGAGACAGCCACAAGGAAGCTCGTAGTCATCCCATCAACCTATCCCGCCGCCGCGCGAGATGGATGTAATAGAGAAGATTTAACTGCCCCTCTTCCCTATTTTATAAAATCTCTATGGTACATAGCTTTCACTGTTACCCCCAGAAACATACCCCCTCCTTTCTCTAAATCCCAAATCCCATGGCCCAAACTGGAAACCAAAAGGGTGGCTTTTGCCGTGACACGAATGGTACGATGACCTGTATCCCTGAACCATGCCTTGACGAGACAAGCCGTAAGACCCCCTTTTGACAACGGTCCGAGGCTTGAAAGATAGTTATGGTGTCATTTTCCTAGGACCATTGAGCCTGCGCTGCCGAAAATGTAAAAAAAAAAAAAAAAAAAAAAAAAAAAAAAAAAAAAAAAAAATTATTAGGGGGGAAAAGGGGGGGGGGGGGGGGGTGGCATGGGCACATAGCATTTCGGAGTTTATCGGATAAATCCGAATTGCCAAAAGTTTTACCGGCGGGTGTTTTTCGGAGTTTTTCGGATTTATCCGAAAACACGGAGCCCTGTTCATAGCCTTCACTGTTACAAAAATATAACCCTTCCTTCGTCTAAGCAGCACAAATAGTATAGCCCAAACTGGAAACCGGAAAAGTGGCTTTTGTCGTGACCCGAAAGCACAATGACCTGTTGTCCTGAATGAACCTTGACGGGATAAGCGGGAAGATCCCTCCTGTCAATGGTCCGAGATTTTAAAGAAAAGCTGAGGTGGCATTTTCTCAGGACCATCGACCCTGTGTGCTGACAAAACTTAATTGTAAAATACCGTCTTTTTTCATGCATTAGTGCATACATTGAAATTCTGAGTTTATCGGAAAATCCGAATTAACAG